TGCATTTTCTTCTCATTTGTTTTGATAGTCATTTTGTTTTCTTTTTTTACAATTTTTATTAGTATGAGAGCAAAGAAAAACTTGTGATACTTGAAAAAAATTTTATACTTTACTCCTAATAGTTACACATTAAAAAAATATGTCTATTTTTTAAATAATCTACTTTATTTTTTTTTCTCTCTTTCAATTTTGTACTTTGAAATCATTTTATTCTATTTTTATTATTGTTATTGGTTTCTTTTTGGCAGTATCGTACATTATTGATACGATATAGACGACTAAACTAACGAGATCTTATTATATGATTTTAAAAGCAAACACGATATAGAAATAAAAAAAAAGAAGAAATTGGAGAATTTTCTTTCATCTGAAGACGTCAGTCATATATTTGTGGATATATAAGAATGACGCAAATAACAAAGAAAACGAGAGAGAGAGAGAATTGCATGATCAATTTATTTCTAATACTCAATACATTTTAAATATATAAAGCTGGAGGGATATATTTTCTAAATATAATAACAAATAATGTTATACGTACAAGATTTACAACAGAATCGTCGGAATAATATAAAAGAATATGAACGTCTTCGTTCGTCAGCTGATCAAAATTTTTTACTTTGTAGTAATCAATATACAGAAAAATTATCTCAATCATCAATTCATACATCAACACCAAATGTTAATCAAGAAGGCACATCTACATTAGTATTATTAACTCGAATACAATCATTATTGTCTCTTAACAACAATAATAACAGTGACTTGTCCGTTTTGAATACTGTAAGTGAAGAGAGAAAAAAATTCGTTGTGTAGCAAATGGTTACCATTATTGTTATTCTTTCTTCTTCTCTACATTTCATGTGACTGTATGTTTGTTAAAAGATGAAAATTTTATTCTATTAACTCACTTTTACTTATTCAAACAACGCGGTCAGATGTGCAATTTAACAAAAAAGGCTTTACACGTGTAATGAGTGAAAGAAAGAGAGAGAGATGGGAAGAGAGAAAAGGCAAGTCCAATCAAAAGAAAACAAAACGTTTTTCATCTCGACTTTTTCTTGCTAAAAGGAGAATCTATTCTGTTTATTTAACAGAACGAGCTTTGTTCGTAATAGAAATGTGTTTGCTGTCATACACAGACTCAGTGTAAGCAGACAAAAAAAGATGGTCGACGGTCAGACTCGCCGTTCACAGATTTCTTTAAGCATGCAACAAGCGGGTCTCCTCTATGCTATCGATGCATTACCTACTGATACACTTGGAGTTGAGGGACAACGTGTACGACCTCAGGCAGATTCATTTTGGTCATATTATCCTGGAGATGTAGGAATATTCTATAAGGTTTGTGTATAATTGTACATTTTAAAAACGAGTATTTCATATCCTATCTAATCACTTTTTTTGTCTTTAGAAAACATCTAGTTGGAAACCACAAAATTCTCGGATAACACGAGAGAACAGAGATTATATGACAGCTGTAAGTTAAATTCATTAGATATAGAATATTTTTGACGAGAAAGAAAAAAGAAAAAAAAAGATTAGAAGGTAAAATTTGATGTATTCTTAAAAACAAACAAATTTTGTTTTTTGATTTTAAAAATGAAATTAGAAATAAAAAAAAGCTTTAGAAGTGTTTGTTTATAAATTTTTCGACATTTAAGTTGCAAAACAGATAAAAAATAATAGTTTTTATTCATTCGACATATTTTTTTGTAGTTAGCAAAAGGAATTACACGAGATGACAGACAACAAGTAGCGTACGAAACTAAAGATGGATCTTCATCTCGTTGGCAACATCCTTCATCGAATAATCTTTCTCGACCAGCAACTGGAAAATCAGGAACAATAGGGTAAAAAGAAACCCTAGTTTATT